TATCTATCTATCTATCTATCTATCTATCTATCTATCTATCTGATCTAGTGAATTATGCTATTCATATTGCTTATGTGTGTTAGAAATAGTATTTAAAAATTCAAAGGGGAAAAATGGCCTTCATCAACACCGACTAAAGGCAGATATCCTGCTCTTCTTTTTTTATTCTTATCCACCCAGTCTCTCTGCAGTCTCAACATGATCTTATTATTTCTGATAGAATTATTTCATTATCTTCTATCATATTTTGCTTTATGATCATTTCAGTTGCATTTTCAAATAAAATTAGGCTCAAAACATGTGATATCCAGGCATTAAAATGCTACTGTCCAGAGCAGAGTGATGCAGATTTTATCCGTTTGCCTTTCCTGAGACACCTGCACTGACCCACTGTCACTTTTACACCTACAGATTTGACTATAATCCAGATCCCACTTGGTTCCACTAGACATGAGTGTAAATGGACTCTACAGCCAGTGGGAACTTTTCAGTGGTCATTTTTCTCAAAATCTTGTGTCATAATCAACAAGTTAATAACCGTAGTCAAATGAACACTATGGTCTTTTGACACTCTTCAGAGTAATAGAGTTGTCTTTTTCCATCAGTTACCTGCACCCCTTATTCCCACTGGGGTCACGGGGGGGGGGGGGGCAGAAGTCATTCTACACTAAATTATTATTGTTATTGCAAAAACATTATCTAGTGTTTTTGTCTTCCTATTTAACAAGCAGCATATAATGCTAAACTTTAATCCCACCCATTGGCTTATATAAAATCTGCCAGATAACTATTATTACAAAGTTATCTTTATAGTGAAAAAATGCCTTCAACACTAATATTCTTTGCCATAAATACTTTGACAACAGCATCATCTCCAGAACACACATATGTGATTTTCACCAAAGATAGCAATATGGGACGACAAAGAGAGTTCTGTGTTTGGTCAAAGGTCTCAGGATAACGTGGATGATTGATATCAGACCACTAAAGGTGTTGTTAGTAACTGTGTGCGTGTGAGTACATACATATGAAAGGACGCACATTTGGAAGGAGTTGAATTGATTAAGAAAGCCAGTGGAAAGTTGGAGAGACAAAAAAAGGTTAAAAAAATACAGCACAAATTTATTAGGAAACTTTTATGCTGACTCCTGATTTATTTTGGCTCGTAGTTATCTGTCTTGCATATGATTTTGAATAAAATACAATTTGGATTAAGATGATGATTTCGATCATTTATGATAAATTACTCATTTTGGTTTGGAGATTTATACAATTATAATATATGTATTACAATCAAGCACATGACGGTCATCCAGTATGTCAGTATTGTATCATGATTTATACCCAAAAAGTCCCTTAAAAAGTACTGATGGATGCACCCCTTACTTTACACCACACCTTTCCCTGATGCATCTTAAGGACAAAGCCAGTGCTCGTTATCCTCTAACATTAACGTTATCCGTTCTTTTACTCTCTCCAGTTACACTCACTTTGCCCATAAGAACTATTCTGCTGGATCCAGCCCTCCTCCGGGTACCGTCTCAGACTCGGGGTCGTTGCCTCACTACTGTTGCCATGGATACGAGCCTGTGGCAGCACCTTCGGGGGCTTTGTCTCGTGTCAGCTGTCGTTCCAATCTGGCACATGGCGTCTCCGTTGTTGTTAGCTTCCTGTTCACAGTACTAGCGAGCTATGCTAGGTTTAAATTAAGTAAACACCAGAAACTTCTGCCACTAACATTTGATTTAATCAGATGGTGCCTCATACACGTTCTGAAAAATCCTTTTTTTGTCTTGTATTTGCAGTTTCCTGTGTTAATGTGTTATGTATCCATCATTTCTACTCTTCTCTGGATTGTAATACACTTCAATTGTATATTTAATTACCCATAGAAATAGTTTATTTTTCTCTAAATGCTTTGACAGTTGATGGCATATATATAGCATATCAATAATAAGAACGTCATGGGATTATTTTTCTCAAATTGTTATTGTTAATTTTGCTGAGAGCAAAACCAAAAGTCTAATACTGGCAGGTTCCCTGGTGCAGGTGCCTGTCTCCCT